TAAATCAAGCCAATCACCCCTTTAATGCATTGGCCCGTTGGAGCCTATTTTGGCACTATAAAAAGGGGTGTTTGGGTCTGCTTTTCTCACAAATTCACTTCACAACATTCATACTTTCATTGCACTCAAATATCATCATTTTCCATAGCTTGCTAGAGCCATTTTGTGTGAAGGTTGAGTTGTTCTTGAGCGTACTTAGTTCTTGAGTGTATTTGTGTTCTTAGACACTTTGAGAGAAGGTACTTCTCTCGGTAGATTCAAAGGAAGGGTTGTTTCCTTTGAAGGATTCGTTGAGGTTCGTGTGACTTGAACTCTCAAGTTGTAACGGTTTGTTAAGCACCCGCAAGCTTAACGAGATAGTAGTGTAGCTCGAGAGAGTCTCTCGGGAGGCTGGATTAGCCACAAGTTGTGGTGAACCAGGGTAAAATTCGGTGTGCTTCTTACTCTTTTCTTTACTTCTCTCGTTAATTTTTAATTCCTGCAATTTCTACGATCAAACGCTATTCACCCCCCCCTCTAGCGTTGGTCTATTATTCTAACATAACAATCGCTCCTCACCCTGACTGAGGAATACCTGGGTGGAGCATGGGGAAATTATAGGGCCGTGCTGATTCTGAAGAAAAAGGAGTTGGCCGCTAGAGCCCTGCAGCAGAAAGTTGACTCCCTAGAGGAACAAGTCCAGGCCCTTCAAGAAGAGAATGCCAAGATCAAGGTAGATGGCTTGGCGGAACTGGTGACTGAAAGGTCCCGGGTCAAGGTCCTGCAAGAGCAAATTGCCATCTACCAAAGGGGGACCCATGCCAGGATCTGGAGACGCAGTTCGACAGACTCCGGGCACAAATCTCCCTCCTGGAGTCAAAGGCCTCAGCTTGAGAAGACAAAGTAGAGAGTCTAAAAGCTGAGCTGGTTGAGAGGGAGTCCCGGATCTCTGAGATGGAGAATTCCCTCTAGGACGCCAAGCAAGAGGGTGCCCATCTGAACGACCTCGTGAAAAAACACATAGAGGCGAAACGGCTTACCCTCGGGAAGTTAGAGAAAGAGAGACAGACTGCCAGCGAGCTCCGGTCAAGGATGGGTGAACTGGAGAAGACAATAGCTGCTCATCAAGGGGAGGTGGCTGCCCTGACCACCCGCGCCGAGGCCCTTTACAAAGAAGGGATGTTTGATATGCAACACTACATCTATGAGGCAGTCCAGAGCGGTCTTCTGGAACACCGATCCTTAGATGACTTCATCTCTCACTATGGCCTGCCTCTTCCTCTTTCTCCCCCAGATTCTTGTACTAACCTGGGGCCTTGACTTTCCTTTTCTTCCACAGCTGTCGTATTTTACTTTGTAACATTTAAATGGTAGCAACTTGATGACGCTTGTAACATTTTGTCTTTTGCCAATTTCTCCTTCATATCCATGTTTCTGTAGACTCCTACGTTTGGGCTAACTGTTCTCCTTTTGGGATTCTTATCTTCTCAGGACTTAGCAGAATTTTATCCGCTTAAGCTTTGGGCTTAACCATGCTTATAAGGTACTGTGTTTTTTTACCGAGCTAAGCGAATGGCCCACCTTAATTACGCCGGGCCCAATTCACCTTAGCCCGATGGTGAAACGATGCAACCCTAGCTTTCCTCGGGAATCCGCAACTGCTTCCCCAATCGGATATGTGCTTTGACTCCGCGTCCTTGCACTTCTCCTTTAGGATTACTCGCCTATTTAAGGGACTAGGCTGAACCCCTCCACCATCACAATCAGACTCTCAACATGGCTAATAACGCCAACAGAGTTGTCTTTATTGATCTTACTATCTCCGATTCTTCTTCTGATTCTTCTTCCTTGGCATTTCCCTCACTTGGAGCCACAACACCTGAACTCTCTTCTGGGCCTTCTCTTGCCTCTGAACAATCGGTGACTTCTCCCCTGCCCAGGGAGGAGAATCATCTCTACCCTCCCCAACAAGGACCAAGGGGAATTCTCCGAGATTCTAGCGTACCCCGTTTCTGTGCTGGGATGGAAGTCTCTTCTGGCCGTCCTGGGACGTCCCGTCCGCAGAAGAGACGCAATCCTCACTCAAGAGCTTCCCGGTTGGTCTCTGGTGCAAGGCCTTCCTCCCAGGGTTCTCCCTCCCCTCAGCAATTGTATGGACGTAGGTCTGAGGAGTGGGGGGAATACGACATGGGGGGAAATAGGTATCCGTTTATAAGCAGGGAAAAGGACGGAACCTTCCCGGATCCGCCTCCACCTTCTGTATAGGCGGAAATAAGCCGTAAGTCCTTCCCTCATGCCTCCACGTCCTTCTTACCCGTTCTTCATGAGGGTGGCTGGATGGTATCCACGGGGGGAATGATTTTCAATCCCTACACGTTGGTACCATTTCGCATTCTTTTGAATGTCATCAAGAGGGACGGTGGGCTACCTCCACACCTTTCCGCTCCGGGGTCCTTTTCTAGCTCAGGCATGGCAGCAAGGGTCAGCGAATGCACTCTTCTTAGATCCCTGAAGTGCCGACTTGCCCAGCCTTCAGATTTTTCCAAGAGTAGGATAGAAGTAGATCAGGGACAAAGTTCATTACTGTAACCCAAAAGAATGTAATCTTCTGTTTGAGTTATTTAATGAAAATCTTTATCTCCCGTCTCTTAAATGGTTTATTGTTAGATCAGGGATAAGGTCCATTACTGTAACCCAAAAGAATGTAACTTTCCATTTGAGCTATTTAATGGAAGAAACCCTTATCTCCCGTCATTTAATATAATTATTCTGTGCATGCCGTCATCTGCATGAAGTAGGAGTCTATATCTGTCTAGCTCCTTACCTTCTAAAGTTGACATCTTACCCAAAGCGCAGATGGGCCCACTCAACTGGCCCATGCACTTAAGTGGCGAAACCCCTGGTCAAACATTGGAAATCTTTGACCACTTCATTCGCCAATCGCCTAGTCTTCCGCATCTTTTCACCATATTTATTACTCCCCAACCATCCCTTCCCCTTTCACTACAAATGGGAAAGGATGGTTTGCTGCTGGTTCATCCCTTTCTGATTTCTTCGCCATGGCAAGTAAATCTCCGAGTAAAGTCTTCATCGACTTAACCCTTTCTAGGACATCTTCTTCTTCGGATGACGATTTCCTTGCCTCTCCGGCTCAATTCAACGACATGGTCGGGTTGAGTCCTGGCGAGTTCTCAAGGCTTTATCCAGCACCTCGTCTTCCTGCGCCATCACCTCCTAGCCCACCCAGGCTTCCATCCGGGAGGATAGATTGGGACTCTATGACCCTCCAAGACTTCGCCTTGTACCAGAGGATGCGCAGGGCTAAACTTGGGCATTCTTTTTCGATTGTCGAGGTGGAACCTTCACGTGAAAGCCGGACAGCTCCTCCAAACTTGCTGAAGCCTCCCAATGATGGTTTTCATTGGGAGCACCAGCTCCCCGTCCAGGGACGTGGGAAGACTATGACATAGAGGAAGCTGCTGATTCCGCTGTGTGCCCTTCGTCGAAGAGAAGGAGCCCACGAAAGGGGCCCCCACCTCCTTCTTGTTGACTGAATGGATGCAATAGGCCTTCCTTCAGTGCCTAGCCCCCTGCAAAGCAATTCCCTTTTTCTTGTTTTATTTTAAGAGGCATTCGCTTGTTTGGTCCAGGAGTTTTTCCTCCGTCCCATACTAAGGAATGTCCTTTAATTTCAGACTAGGAATTATCGTTGTAATTCAAAGACACAACCTTCAAATTAGCAATCGATGACTTCCCTTTTTTCTGATTTCTTTCATCTCATTAGGAACCATTATTGTGAACCAAAAGTGTAAACTTTGGCCCATCAATGTAGTCTTTTATGTTTATTTCTTTGCACTTTATCTAATGCAAGTACAAACATATCTCATCCTCTATACAAAATCTCATCTCCCGGGGTTTAGATGTGCCATGGGAGCTTACCTCATCTGTCCCTGACCTCCTTTCCTCCGGGTTAAGGCATAATCTTATCTACCTTGGATCAGTTGAGCTCCAACCCTCGAAGTTTGTTTGCTCGGTTGATCTGTGCTAGTGGAATACTAAGCTTCAGCCCTCGAAGTCTGTTTGCTGTTCTTCCTGAATTCCGGATTGTAAAGGCCTTCAAAGTCCAATCCCAACCCTTCCTTCATATTTGACGGAGGCATAAACTTATCTACCTCTAGGTGGCATAAACTTATCTACCTCCCATATTTTTAGCAGGTGGCATAAACTTATCTACCTCCTTGTAATGTGGGTCTAATTTGCCCAGGGTGTTTTCCCCTTTTTTTAAAAGAAATTTACAGAACAATGAAATTGTAAAGACACTTGGCTTTAGAGGAAACAAAATTGTATTGAAACAAATATCTGAAATCCCAAAATAATGTGCTTTACAAAACAATTTTATTGATAAAATTTGACCAAGTGCTCTACATTCCACGTCCTATCAGTTTCTTTTCCCTTTGGAGTCACCAACATGTAGGTACCTGGGCGAACGATAGCCTTGATGATATAAGGTCCTTCATATTTCTTAGCCAGCTTCCCACCCTTAGTTGGTTGACTCTTCTCTCGCTTCCTCAGGATGTAATCCCCCACCTGGAACGCCCTCGGTTTCACCCTTCTGCCAAAGTAAGATTTCACCTGGCGACGATAATTCTCTGCCCAGATTCGCACTTCATCTCTTCGTTCTTGTATGAAGTTCAGCTCTACGGCCTGATTCTGTTCGTTTACTTCCAGGTCATATTCCATTTCTCTCCTGGTAGGGATCACCGTCTCAGCTGGAGCCCGGGCTTCGAAACCATAGGCTAAGCCAAAGAGAGTGTCGCCCGTAGCCCTCCTTGGAGTCGTTCTGTACGTCCACAGGATTCTGGGTAGTTCATCCACCCATTTGCTTCCTTCTGAAAGTAGCTTCTTTTTTATTCCACTTATGATTGTTCTGTTGACGTTCTCCACCTGCGCATTAGCTTGAGGGTAGGCCACAGAAACCTTTGTATGCTGAATTCCCCAAGTTTTGAGGAAGTTTTGGAATTCTGCTTCCTTAAACTGGGTTCCGTTTTCGGATATGATCTGCTTCGGGACCTCGAACCTGTTAGGAAACGAGGCTTGGATAACGCAGCGGAAAACAAAAATTTAGAATCCAAAACTCGATTCCACCCAAGAACAACTTACGTAAATTACTAGCTATAGTAAGAAATTTACCTTAGCGGTGAAAAACGGAGAACGGAGAAACAGTCGGGGATGGTTTTGAGGAGATGAACGTAGCGCCAAACGTATGAAGCCTCTAACGTATCCACACGAACTTGCTCCGGAGTCCTAGATTAAACTTGTGCTAGCAAGTTTAATATAGGATAGTAAAACTATAATAATACTACCTTGGGAGTAATAAATATATAGTAACAATATTTATCTTATAAATATTTCTTTATAATATTTTGTGTATATTTCTAACACTTTAGAAAAATAACTTGGAACACAAAATATGAATTTTCTTCTCTCTTCCTTGTGATGGCCGAATAGTTGTAGTACAAAAATGAGGAGGGATACATCTTATTTATAAAACACTACTTTAAAAGAATTTCTAGGAAATTCATTAGGGACAAAAACAAATAAAGATTAGTGCAATGTCTCCAGCCAACACAACAAGACAAATATGCTTTTGTTAATCAAATATTTGATTATATCAATCAAATATATCATTAGGTAGAAAATCAAATTGTGTCTTGTACATTCCCTTTGAAATTTCGGCCATCTCATATTAAAATGCATTACATTTTATTTTGACATCAATAATTATCATATAATTAAAATGATGAAAA